TATCACCTTGGAAATAATGAAGTAGATGGACAGAAAAAAATCACAGCACAGCAACGAAAGATGTGTCTATATATGTATATCTATAAATAAAGTTTACTGTAGGGCTCATCATAGTTGAAAATAAAATTAGAAATTGAAATAAGAAGTCACTTTTTTTTTTTTTTTTTTTTTTTTTTTTGCAGCCGGCTCAGCCCACCCTGGGCATGTGGTGCTGGGGATAGAATCACAGTCCTTGCGCTTTGCCTAAGCAGGTGCTTTAGACCACAAGCTACGGAACTTTTAAGAATTTGGGATGTGTCCATAATAGAAAGACAACTTGGAGAGGAAAGAATGTCGGCATTTATTAAGTACATATATCCTGTTACTGATACTCAAAATTTATTTCAATCTAAAAGGAAAAAAGATGTGTTCAAAAATCTTATTCAGCCTTTGGAAACATATTCCAAATACTATGTATCTGGCAGAAAAGTAGGCTGACAGGAGGTACACTATTAAATACTTCAAGCCTTTATGAGGATATACCCTGGTACCTGCCTTAAAAGGCTCACTGTTTAAGGGTCCTGAGTGAACATTAAAAATATGTATAAACCATTATATGTTTTTTAATAGTGCTGACGACAGCACTATTAACTCAATAATCAGTAAAACCATTACTACTGAACTATAGGAACTGCCAAGTAATATATAACCATCTGGTTTTGCTCTGAACTTCTGTCTTTTGTGATCATGAGTACCAAATACACAAATCTAAATAGGAATGAGGATTAAAGATTCAATGTGACAAAGCTTGGTAGAATTAGGATCAGCTATACTTGCAAAGGTGTACTCTAAATCTCTAGTAAAAATAGAACCTTAAGCAATAAAAACGCAGTATGATACTGATAACCCAAAATATCACCTTATCATGCCCAGGACTTAAATTCCAGCTCTACTGAATAACAGAACATTTCATAGTTGCTTCCTTATGACAACTTAAACTCTCCAATGCCACTTCAACAGAAGAATAAAATGTTTCTTCCTTTAGAGATACAAATACAGTAAGGCTAACACACTGAAAGAGAAAATCAAACGACCAAAGCTAATGCATACCAGCTTCTCACTTAAGATAATCAATTGGCAT